ATGCATATGTATACATATATGTATATATATATGCATATTCATATATATTTACATACATATATGTATTTACGTACATATACACACATATGCATATATATATGTATATGTATATATATATATATATATATATGTATATATTACGTGTATATATACATATATATATGCATATACTAACAACCCCTCTACAATATGCGTTTCTGCACCGCACAGATGTAAAAAATGCATAATAAAAAAGGGAAAAGTGTCACCTTCGGAAGTAGTTTCACTCGCATTACACTTCATATTTCGTCGTTGTCCTTTGGCCATACCTCTTTGAGCCGGAGTAGGCATCAGAACAAACGTTTTTCGATGCTCATTTGCATTAGAAATTGTGATCAATGTGTCATATGACAGTGAGAGTGCTGTAGGCTCCGTACATTCCACGGAAGGGCTAAATCTCAAGCGAATCACCAAATAGCAATAAGTCAAAACAAACTTAATTTCTGATTACAGCTGGATACTAGCACCGATTACTAATAAAAGCACTCCGTGGGGATAATAACTTTTGTAAAATCTGAATTAAACGCTTTCTTACCAGTTCAGATGATTTTCATGGGTGACTCGGTTTATAGCTTCTGCGGAATTCACCAGCTTGGACTGCAAGTATGAAGAATAATTAGGCAGTGAATTAAATTTGTAATAAATTTTTATTTGAATGCTTTCAGCGAAACAGAATTTTTCTAAGCAAAAAGTTCGCCAAGCAAAGGTAATACAGGTAGAAATAATCAGAAGTGGGAAATATGGACAACGATGTATGAAAGTTTATTGCAAGGCACTTCTTTACATCCAGAAAACCAGAAGCTGCTGAGCCTGTTAGATTTCACCCCTGAGTTTTAACGGTACCAACAAGCGGGAGGGTTAGCCGACTGTACAAACGTTACTTAAACCAGTACAATTTAAATCAGTGTGAAAAACAGAAGTATTCCAATCAAACAACTGTTACAAAGTACAACCTGGGAATGAGTTTCTTGAAGAACGCTGCATATTTTCGAGTCAGGGCAATTTTTCAACTGATAAGTTGCATTTCCGATGGTGGCTGCATCTGACTGTTCTTGGTAAGACTTTGAAGTAGATCGGTTTTGCAGTCCCGACGACTCACATAACACCGAATGAATCCGAGGACTACTTCCAGACGATAGAGGAATTGGTAGTGGGAATAACGGTGATGACGGCTCCACTGCCGTACTGATGTTGAAGCGAAGCCGTTCAGCCTGCGGAAGGCCCATCTTAAAAGTATTATCAACAAATACTGCAAAGGTTAACAATTCCGGAAAAAGAGCTACGATGAAAGGAGAGATTTGGACGTTTGTAATAAAAGTTAAAACATTTACGCTTCTGCGTGAAATCTCACTGCGAACAAGCGTGTGGGATGAACGAGATGCTGCATGAGTTCAGCAAGCAAGGTGTGAAAACGGGCCTGAAAGTCAACGCACTGAAGAAAAAAGTAATTCATACTCTGTAGACGCACCGCCGCTACACTGCGTTGATTTGGAACATACTGGCAAATGTGACTACTTTAGTCAGAAAATGAATGTGAGGACTTTTTTTATGATTTTTTTTACATGCGAGGCTATTTGGACTTCCGCTAACTTTTTTTCTGTATTTTTTGAACATAAAGTTATTTTTGTTTTGTTATTGAACTATTTTGTTATTGAAGTTATGTGAATTTTTTACTTGGCATAGCTGAAAATGAGGAAGTGAATTTTTGCAACACCGTGACGTTTTCTAAGTGCCAAATTGAACGAGTGGCGCCCATCCCTTTGATAACACGCCGCTAAAGCAACGATACGCGGTTACAAAACGTGGCTCTGACGAAAGCAAACAGCGCAGGGTGGGCGAGACGAAAATCATTGGCAATGCGCACCGTTCAGGCCCGTGCGATTACGCGCTTTTGCAGTATTTTGCTCTGTTGCAAGATCATTTGGAGTCTTTTGGCAAACTGGTAGCTAGAATTTAAGGCATACTGGTCTAAGAAGTATAGGAAATTAATCGTGTAACTACAGAGTGTTTAGTCGAGGAACACTCCCTCAAAATTTCAGCTCTCAGTCTTTTCTGGCCCTCGAGTTAGCAATTTTCTCGCCACAAACTTTCGTGGGACCGTATGTGAGAACCATGCATAAATTGGGACTGAAAAACTTTTAATTGTGCATGGGCTGGGGAATATCCCCATAAAATTTCAGCCTCCCAGCTTTCCTCGTTCCCGAGTTAGCAATTTTCCTACCGTACGTGAGGACCGCGCACATCTGGGGCTGAATTTAAAATCATTGAGTTCTATGTAGACTGGAAAAATAGAAGCAAAATTTCAGCTTTCTAGGTTTTCTAGTTCCCGAGTTAGCGATTTTCCGCCAAAACTTTCACGCGCCCGTATGCGAGGCCTAAACGTGTGTGAAGGTTGGTACCATGGTTCCGATGTGGCAATTTGACAGGAAACCTACTGGCAAAATTTTGGAGCCGAAGCTTGCTTGGTTGGCGAATTGAAATACCCACACGGACGCACACACACGTAAAAGCACACACATACACACACCGGGGTCGTCACAATATACGTTTTCGCATTTGCATATAAGCAAAAACGCTTAAAAATGGCACAATTAAACAGCAGCGTGATACGCCAAGTGAACGCAGAAAGGACAGACTAGAAGTGATAGCTACGCCTGGCGTGTAAGTAACATAATTTCTTTGCAATATTTGTCTTGGTGATCCTGTTAATTCACCAGATGCTGAGAAATGAATTAACTTTGTGACAGGCACCAAACTTTCTAGAGATCTGGCATATGATCCCAGTAAGAAAATCGGATTTATTTGACACTGTCAGCGCGGAACTATACATATATACACATGTATGCAAATTATATATATATATATATATATATATATATAGTGCTATATGTATGCATATACACACACATATATATACATATATATAAATATATAAATATATATATATATAGTGCTATTAGCTTGTCAGCTAAGTACAACTTCATAATCCTAACGGCAGAAAGTTGAAACCCACTTTGTATTCTCCTTCTAAGAGAGACGGAGGCACTCACAAGCATTCCAAAGCTAGCAAGTGATAACAAGCAATCACTCGTTGAAAAGGCTGTCAATGACTCGCTCTTTCAAGGACTGCATAGATTCAAGGTGATGACGGAATGACCACGTATCCTGTCTTATTATAACTAGACAGTAAAGCAAGCTGTTTACCAGATCCCGATAGTTTACAGGTGCTATATGAGTTAAAAAATTACAAAAGCAAAGTATGTTCATTGTCTTTTAGTGCTGGCGCGTTTTACCCATTATCCGCTAGAAAAAAAATCTGCCGCTCACCCATTATCCGCCAAGAATTGACTGTCATGACAAGGCACAAATTTCTTTTGTACAGGTTTATTCATTCATGGTGCTGCCGTAGTAGCCTACTGCAAAAACACATGATTGAGCCGACCCCTGGCACGGATCTTATTTAACAGCATGCGGAT